ATGAAGTTGCTCATGATTTATTTTCTCCATTTCCTTCTCACTTCCTCTTTCTTGACACATACTTTTCTCCTTACACTCCACTTCAAAACACTCTCAAACAATTCTGTTCACTCACAGCGAGACAACGTTTCACACTGATGTAATTTTATATACTTCCATCTTCAGGGTTTGTAAATATGGTACAGGAAGTCTGACCGTAAGTAGCTGTATAGTCGTTAATATTCCGACGTCGTTTTCGGAGAATCATGGATCTAAACTGTCCATAGACCGGATATACTGGTTTAGGTTTCTCACGGTTCTCCACAATTCCTCAGAGGAAACACTCGAGGGCTAGTATTCCATCAGATTCATTACTGACCAACCAGCTCACTGTGTGACACTATAAACACGCCATAATATTAGCAGATTAAAGTGTCATTAAATAAAAGAATACATAAGAAAAAGGCACAGACAGAGCAATTCCGAAACAAAATGTTTATAAATAATTTCTTTTAATAAGATTACAGCGTACAAATGAGGCTCAGCATTCAAGTAAAAGGTAAAACTATCTCTGCAACAGGTAGTGAAGGCCCATAGGGTTGTAAGACGACGAGACTCCTACATTATCTCTAGATAATCGGCTCACAAACGGCGGTAAGGTTGCCAGCTTTACGCTCCCGCCGCCCTTTACTCCCAGGAAGATTCCTGGTACACATTTCTATTAGAGGCTGAGTCGACCCCAGGGCCATAATGTAGCAGAAGGATTGCGTAAATTGAAGAAATCCACCTCACAGTGACTTGAAGAGACCTTCTGGCTAGTAGCATAGTGTCTCAACCAACTACGCTAATGCGTTCCCCGAGTTTTCAAGAAGGCAAGTAAATAATTTTCATGAAAATTTCTGCAGTCTTCTCATGAAGACGTCAACATTGGATATGAAGCACACCTTGAAGGCAATGGTGTGATGCAGGATGGTTTTCAGAGAAAGTGGTTGCCACAGGTCAGTTTACATTCCACTCAAGTTTCATGCATATATACAGTGTAAGTGATAATATGGCCGCGCCATAGCTCAAGCAGTTAGTCGCTGGCTTCCCACTGCGGCGGCCCGTGTTAGATCCCGGGGTCTGGTCAAGTGGTATTTGTGGTGGACAAAGTGGCGCTGGGGCAGGTTTTCTCCGAGTACTTCGGTTTGCCCTGCTAAACTTCATTCCATCAATTGGTCCACAATCACCCTCACCTGTCATCTGAGGCTGGTACAGTAGGCCAAAAGTGGCCGCAGTACATGGAACTTTCAATAATTATAGAGCATACTTCAGAAATTGTATGTGGTTTTACAGCAGGCGTACAATTACTTATTGAGCAGTTCAGGATGACAGTTCACCACTGCGCTACCCATAAAGCGTGCGTGACTTTCCCTTTATCTTCCATCTTCTTTATTTTGGGCCCTCATCTCTTTGCATTCTATTCTTCTTCACCCTCCCACGCGTTCTCCTTCATAACTTCTCTGTTATAGGTTCCTGAAGCCTTAGCTTAAACGTAGTACAGCTGCTGAAGTTTTGGCCAGAATTTTTACAAAACAACGTTTATAGCTGCTCCTGCCTTCCTTGTGACTGAAAATTAAATGCGTTATGTTGCTATTTTTCACTCGTAACCTTAACCTTTTTGTGACCGTTCACTAGAATTATGGTTAATATAAATTATGTTAATTGATATTCATTACTTACTTGTTTACTTACGGAGTTGAGCCCTTCTTGAGGAGAAGCCAAATCTGCAGCTACTCAAGAATTTCCCAGCATTTTATGGAACCCGAAGGTTCATCACCGTGTTCACAAGAGCCCTCCACTGGTCCCTATCCTGACCCACATCGATCCAGTGCATGCCATATCATCCGATCTCTCCAAGATCTATTTTGATATTGTCCACCCACTTACCTCTTGGTCTTCCCAATGGTCTCTTTCTTTCTGGCTTTCCCACAAATATCCTATATGCATTCCTCTTCACCTCCATTCGTGCTACATGCCCTGCACACCTCATCCACCTTTACTTGATCATTCTAAGTATAGACATCCATTAATTACAGGCTGAAATTTAGAAGTAAAGCGTAGGGAGAGAGAGAGACATGGGGAGATTTGACAGCTAGTGCAAGCTAAAACTTAAAAGATGGACGGCCAGAATCCCAAGCCAAGCTGATTATACATCAGGTTCTTGTCAAAGGAAATATGGCAAATCTCTCCCTGTAGGCCCATAGGGTTGTGAGAAGTCGAGGTTCCAACATCTTATCTGGACAATCGGCTCACAGATGGGGGTAAGATGCCGTTGAAAAATTAAGCACTCGGAGAACGCAGCAGATTTATTTCAACTGGAAATGTAAATTTCGGGTGGACTACCAAATTTTGAACTAGCCCAATAAGGACTGTTTTAGGGAGGAGCTTCCTCTTGGAAATTTGGACCCGAAAGGGTCTCTACTTCGGAGAACCCATTTACAAAAGTAGCCGTCTTCCACCTCCTTAAGCTTTCTTGCGCAAAGCTGCGTCACGCCGTCACATATAAAGTTACAGTTACAAACTGTTCATTGTTAAAATTTATACACGTTTCACTCAGTAAAATGAAGGAAGGTACTGGAAGGCGCCAATAGTAGGAGAAAAACCATAGTAATAAGTAGTGGTTCTTTAGGCAAGTTAAAGTAACTAAATTGCACCATTATAATCCAAAGTGAACAATAAATAATATTATGACATGATGCCTGAAAGCCGGAAGAGCGGAGCCAGAGTAGGCGTTCATTGTTAGTCAGCGACTCGCCAAACAGTTTCCAGCGGAAATGAACACGTACGCAACAATAAAAGAACTATCGTTTCCGTCCAACGTCAAGGTAAACTCATCTCTATAACAATATAGAAATTGTTAGGAAATTCTGTTTTCTGTTGGGGTCGACCCGAGGCTACATAACGAGGACTATAGGCCAGCTTAAATCACAATCGAGGGAGCCTCTAGAGTAGGCAGTCGAAGTGGATGAAGAACAGAAGACTTGTGTCATATAATGGTTTGTCAACTGTAGTAACTAGTTGTATAAGTGTGCAATAAATCCGGTCATCAATCCAAAACCCGTCTATATGTCACGCACACTCCCAAATACGTGACAATATCTTACGTGAAATGGTGATTGTATTAGTGCGAGTTTGGTAGCATAAGTTTCTTGCTGCCCTACCGGAGCGAGGCCTATTAACGACCTGAAATTGGAACTTACATCTACATATACCTGAGCATACCGGCTAACCCAAATAACTCACCTGAACATACACCATCCCGATAAGTTACACCTGTACGCTTACTGGCGCCCAACAACAACACTCCTACCTTCCCAAATACATCCCCGTTCAACAACGAAGAGCGGAAGTTGTAAGGGGAGCAACAACCAAGTGGAAACAGGGAATTAGCAGAGCAAGGTGAGCATCGTTAAAGGGGAACAGATATAGAAGTTCCGCAACAGCGGGAGCGGGTAAAATTTTAGACCGTAACAAATAATGTAATTAGTTTCGGACTGGACAACCGAGTTCGATTCCTGGGAAAATAAATATTGTGACGTTCTGCCTAAAAGCCGGGCTATAAGACGTCCATCACTAATCAACGGCTAGCAATTCCTACGCAGCGGAGTCTAAGAAATCGTTGGCCCGAAAATGAGAGTCTAACCGTGAGGTTTTCACCATTAAAAACGAATTGTTTGAGGCAGACACGTATTCCCGCGTTCAATGCATATCAGCGGGCGAAATTAACAGTTCGACAAGGTATTCCCTATTCAGTCCGAGTGCAAGATATAAGACTCCTTATCCGACATGGGACCAAGAACAGTTGAGCCCCGAGCAGAGCACAAGACGCTTCACCAAGATCAGTGGTGCAAGTAATTGTAACCCTGAAGAAGAAACGTCTAAAAGGCGTTATAAGTGGAATAACTGTACTTTTGAGTGTAAAGAGTTAGTGTCCAATAAAAAGTGATTCGTTCACATCCGAGACCCACACGATTTCTTCTCGCGTTGCCTAGGAATCATGCGACAATATTTTCCCGAGCCATCACGGTGAGAAGGGCTGCATGGACCACCATATTTCTTCTCCGGTTGCCTCTCTTCACTCCATGTCCGTGAATAAAGTGGCCTAAGTATCAAGGCCATCCAGGTTCTGCGCTGAGAATTTCGTTTGAATTCCGCGCCCCTAAACATCATGGGATGAGCTTAGGCACAGAGGCAGCTTAACCGTCACCTTTTATATTTAACCTATGAAAACACGTGTTACAATTCTCCATTTATTTAAAACTCAGCAAGTTAAATCCTTCGTGTATTTCATCTGAATGCACAGTACAATTATTTCATGATGGCCGATCAGCTTTGCTTGCGCACGTAGCTTAATGGGGTCCATCCTAGCAGATGTACCTTCCGAAAAATATGTCACCTTACTGATAGCTGTTTGTAAGAAAAATTGTGTATAAACGGCTTAATGTATTCTCTCTAAGGACCACACCTGTTACTGACTCAAAATGTAGTCGTACCTGAATATCAGCTCTTAATATTAAGCCCACTGTCCTACTGAAAATCAAATTTAATTTTGAGACAATGAATTATTAAAATTCGATGGAAGATATCGGTAGTTACAGCAGCAATCTGTGAGAAATATTGTGTCCGATCCACGCTGCTGCCAGGTTTCCTTGATCAATGAACGTCCTACAGCTTCTCATTATTTAAGTTGTGGAGACTATTCCAATAAACACGGTGTATTTAAATGTGACTGATGTAGTTAAGTGACTTCAGTGATTCTTTTGCCTGTGCATCAGATTAAAATAATCCGACATTTTCCATAACTGAAAGACTCGTTTAATAAGTTAACATGTTCACATTGGCAACTTAGATAATGCACCAACAATTACCTTACGATAATAAATAGACAAAGAAGAACTTTGTAGTCTAGTAATGAAACTACCGATTAAATACATCGGAGAGATTAGTGTGTAGCGGAAGAGGATAAATTTACCACTTACCAGGGTTGATAACCTCGCAGGGAAGTACAACAGTGTCATGCGTTTTCACTCGATATGACTGGCCCACTGTGGAGAAATACGGCTGTGTGGCAGTAGGGTCGGGACCGACCTGGGCAGCCCCATCAACGCCTGTAAACAACAATCGAGGAAGAAAGTTATAAAAAAATATTTTCAGTCAGTGAACGTAAAAAACTTAGCCTGAGACAGGTGAGATGGAGCCCGGGACGGTCACAAATGTAGACTCCAACCCCAAGCCGGAAGTCATATAAATATATTTGAATCAGATTTTCTATAGCTTAAACAATGCAAATGAAAATCGATGAAATGCCAAGAATAATAAATAAGTCCATAATTCAATTAAACAGCATTCCCATATACCGTATTTACGCATGTATAGGCCGCATGCGTGTATAGGCCGCAGCACAATTTTCAGACAGAAATTATAGTACACCCTGTATTACTAATTATGAATATAATTTTTTTTAATGAAGTGTGATTTCGAATATTTCGAATATAAGCCGCACCCTAGTTTCCCTCTTGAATTTTTGGCAAAAAATGTGCGGCCTATACATGCGTAAATACGGTACTTGCTTATTTATTATAATGTTTTAATTACGTACGAATATATATTGCCCACACCCGCTAGTCCAAGGGCCTGAGGCAATTTTCCCCTCTGCTCTCCAACCCCTTCCCCCGTGTAAGACTATCATTCACTTATGGAGCTAAGCCCTTCTCGAAAAACCAATTGTGCAGCTACTCAAGAACTTCCGAGCATTTTATGGAATCCGAAGGTTCATCACCGTGTTCACAAGAGCCCTCCACTGGTCCCTATCCTGAGCCAGATCGATCCAGTCCATACCATCCCATCCCATCTCTCTAAGATCTATTTTAATATTGTCCACCCACCTTCGTTTTGGTCTTTCTAGTGGCCTCTTTCTTTCTGGCTTTCCCGCCAATATCCTACATGCATTCCTCTTCTCCCCCATTCCTGCTACACGCCCTGCCCACCTATTAGCCTTAAATTGCATGACTATAAACTGGAGTTGAAACGTGCACTCCAGGAGCGCACATTTTTCCGCAACACTCACTCACCTTCATGTGTATGTACTGCCATAAGCTACAGTCTCATTAATTTTTCTGACGTTTTCTTTACGACACTGTTGGTATCTAGAGAGTATAGCTGGATAACTGATGCATTTGAAAGGCTTTGGATATAATCTGTCGTGGCGTAATAGTGACACCATCCCGGCATTTGCCTGGTGGGACTGAGAAGACCAAGAAGATTCTCAATGAGAACAGCTAGCATCCCAGCCAAGATTCGAATGAGGCACCTCCTAAATACAAGAAAGTCTTGAGCACCTGCTCGGTGAGCAGCTCATCACAGTGAGGGGTCCCAGACGGGTTTTTCCAAGACCGTACAAAGTACTCTTTAAACACCGACAGATGTCGCAAAGGTGTCAGATCGTCATCGAGAAAGTTGTCCTGACTGGTAACGGACCTGACGTACTGTACAACTGCTCGGTTCGAATCTTCGTCGGCACACTTATTATCATGTCAGTACGCATGCGTGACAATTCCTGTGGGTGAGAAGCATGCCAGCTTTTAATAAGATTTGTATGTTTCTCATCCGCTGTGACCATGAAGTATTTTATGGGTCAACTACATTCCGAACTCTTAGGAGTTTAATGATGTCAAGTTCCATTATATCGCGTTAATATTCTGTATCTCCACACACCGAGGAAGTTGAATCCTTTAGAAATAAATTTATGGTGAAAAATGTAGCCCGAATCTGGGCTTTGGTAATTTGGGGGGGGGAGATATTTCCATTAAGCCGTGAAGATGAATATCGATATACAATTTCGAAATAGGTCACGATTATTTCATTCTTAATGCTTACACATTCACCAGTCCTCCTGATGCTGCCACAACCACCGGAACTACAAAATTAAATAACATCATAATTAAGTTACTGACTGATGGATACGACAAAGAGAAAAGGGGCTTCTCTTTTTAAAAGTGGGTGTTCCTTGCAGGTGCATATACATATGTAAGAAAGTACACTGATTCGATCTGAGGTTCTGAGCTCTGCTTTCTGGCACTCAAGGCCGTGTAATCGGTTGACTCACCGGACTATACGGCTCTACAAGCCAGAAGACAGAGCTCTTGAGAAACTACCTCGATATTGCGGTTTAACCTTTGAAGGATGAATGTCCGATATGTCGACCGTCCGGTACCTTCTTTTTGATGAGCCCTTCTGGCGCCCTATGTATGTGCTTAGCCCAAACAAAGCATGGGATTTTAATCTATAAGGTTTCAGCATTATCTTTGCGTAAACAGTCAAACGTTATTTCCTGTACGTATAACTGTTCTAATCACGTGCAACAATTCGCTGACATTCTGAACCTACATCATCATCATCATCAGTAATCTGTCAGACGATAGGTCCACAGTCTCTTCCAAAACAGTTTCTCCACTTAATGCGATCTTCTGTTTTTGGAAAGAGACTATCCAGGAAAAGTGATAATGTGGTAGTTTTTCCATTTGCTTTCCACATCGCAGTAAAACAGCCGTTCAAACGACTCTGGTCACGCCTGTTGCTATACGAACTAGAACCATCTCGAGCATCATTTGCTCTGTGCTTCAAGTCGCTGCTGATGACGCTGCTTCCGGCATCAGTTTTTGGTTTTTGGTGTCTCTCTTCGTCTGATGCCTACCCTTTGATCTGTCCAGCAAGGGAGGCCCTGCCCGTAGCTACGCTACCGCTGGTATAGCTCTCAGGGTCCTTGGCATACTCAAACCCCCTCACCACGATAAGGTGGTGGGAGGGGGGAACCTACATACCAGATACATTTTCCTTTTCATAATGGTCGCGCCATAGCTAAAGCGGTTAGTCGCTGGCTTCCCACCGCGCCGGCCCGATATCGATCCCGAGTATGGTTAAGTGGGATTTTTGGTGGACAAAGTGGTGCTGGGGCGGGTTTTCTGCGAGTCCTTCGGTTTCCCCTGCCAATCTTCATTCAATCAAATTCTCCATCATCATAATCACCCGGGGCAGACTATAATAAGCCATTCAGTGGCCGCCGTTCCGAGTGGATCCAGTTGGACTCCACCCCCCACTAAACGAAAAATTAAAAACTCCCTCCCATTCCTCTTTAGGTTCTGTAACGGCAGGACTGCTATTCAAATCTGATGAATATGCGTGGGGGAGGTCAAATATGTGAGGGGAAAAGAAAATTGTTTATGATTAAATTTACGTCACAGTTCAAGCTGACGGATTTTTGCCGCATCTTTCATTTTCTTTGTTCATGAAGAAGTTTTACGAACAAACAAAACAAACACCGTGGTTTTAGCCCGCAAGCGAACTATACCGACAGAGCGACTGCTTCTTGTCGGCGAGGTTAGTGCCTACTTTAGCGGATAGAGGGTGTAGCGTGTTCAGCGCAACGAATCTCCAAGGCCTTTGAGTTTGGATTTCTAGACCGGAACCGCTATTTCCTTGAAATAGCTCCTCAATTATCCTCACGAGGCTTAGCGGACCCCTTTCCAGACAAAGTACTTCTCAGAAAAATTCTGGTAGCGCCGGGAATCGAACTCTGACCATTAGACCACAGAAGCGATCCAGTTTTACGAGCAGGAAAGAAAAAGTGAGGAGAGGATAGTGTTGCTACTGAACCAGATATTCTAGTGTTCAGTGGTGGATTCGGTTTTTCCTTATGCGTCTTTCTGCCTACACACTGAAACGTGTTCAGTAGGCTAGTGACTGGAAACCAGTACGACAGGACCTACGAAGCGCGCGTCTATTAGTCGATTTATGATGTGCTCTAGACGATACTGAAGAACAGTACGCTGACATGATCTCAGAAGAATAGCTCGAAAATACCACACTTCAGGATCCATCATCTTCTGAAGAAAATTATGGATATTTAGAAAGGCGACACCAACTTCCCTCTGATAAGGCAGCTGTACTCAAGTTTCTGTAAGAGCAACGTGGGATGGACAAAACCGCTGTTCGAACTATTACTGAAAATTCACAACCTCGTGATTTTTTCTTGCTGTATTTTTAGACCAACCTGGCAGTAAATGTGCCAGAGACCAACCTATACATGCAAGAAGATGCGCAAGCAAGAAATAAACCAGATATTACATATTCTCAGCAAATAAGCATATAGGATCTATACGTATCTGTCCCAGTCCAAGTTCAGATGGGTCACGAAGTTGGTATGAAGCTGTACTGGACCAAAGACGAAATCCACTGCGTTTCTTTCTGCTCCAGTGTGATGCCACGTGATCGTTCTCTCGCGATTCTGAAATATTCGCGGACAATCAGAACCCACTAACATGACAGATTATGAAAAATCAAAATTTTCAAAACTGTATCATCCAACAACATATGGCAGTGGATGAAGTAATTGTATAATTAAAAAAGAAAGTCTTATTTCTGCAATACATTCAAAAAAACATAAAGCGACTGACACACGAATTAACAAACTTTGTGGCAGAGGTAGTTACACATACGACATGAAGTTGTACCTGGGAAAATAAAGAAACGTGACTAGCACAGATGTTACACTGTACCTGTTTCCGGAAGCAGAATGAACTGGACACAGAATATTCATTTAAAGTTATCGCATTACCGAAAAATTTCAATGATCTACACCACAGGGAAATAAATGCATGTGTAGTAGTAGTTCTTCATGCATGTAGTTCTTCACAACAGGAAGGGGAAGTCGTCTAATTTCAGTCCCAAACATTACGACTGAAAAGAATCCAGAGTCCGTGACCAGAGAGTTGGGAAATCTAATGGTTGCGTGTTGGAAGGACAAACGGTAAGTTTATGTCCGTTCTAATATGCACATTCCACCTGCGGAAGGCAACTTCGAGGGAGGTAGGAAACCTATGAAGCCTCTGATCATCGAAGGCTATACAACCAGTTGACTTTACTGATAGGATAGCGAACACCTACAGCGTTAGCAAGAAAATCTTGATATCGACGAAAACATTCTTCTTCCATTTGCTGGACCTAACCATTCTGAATTCATATTCTCTACTAGACTTGTGGGAGAAATATGAAGACTATGATATTTAGGGAGCAGCTGGTTGGTAGGCGTCTCGCTGTTCTCTCCAA